ATTGTCACAAACAATACCGAACTATCCCTTTAAGTTTGGTTAAACTTTGCTTACTCAGTTTCTCAATTCAGTTTTACAAGTCCTTCAAACCACCTTCAGTATCACATTTATGTTACCAAATCTTCCTGGTCACTTATATTCCTGGGATGAACACATCTGGATAATCATGTATTTACATTAACAGTTTTGTGCATAAAATCACTCTCTTTTATATCACAGCATACTACTGGTTCAAAACACTTAAATTAAGTAATAACCCCACAAGAAATGTGCCTGCCAAACTAATACAAAGTTAAGCTGCTGTAAAATGTACAGGTCTTTGAAAAATGCAGCATGGAATATGCTTATGTTAACTCTAAACATTTCTGAATTAAACATTTCTGAATTAAACAAAAATTCACAAAATAAACCAGTGTGAAATACAAATAAAATGCTTATTTCCCCATAAGTGCATTTAGATCCTTATTATTAAAAGATAAAAAGTGTGCTCAGGAGTTTCCAAAATAAACCCAACCACTGTCTAGATTGTAATACCCCTGCAATACCACATGGCGGCCGCTCGGGAAAATATGCTTCCAAAACCTACTTTTAAGTGATTTTATACAGACACAAGCAACGTGAAATATACACACAAACAAACTAAACTAATTCTTGGCCGAATACAGATATATATGGCGATTTACTAACTTGTTTAAAGCAGGTGAAAGAGGAGAAGTGAGGAAAGGAAGGAAACAGTTTATCTTCCAAATCACGTCTGAAGAAACGGTGGGAGTGCGCGCCCCTTTACCGCTCCCAGCGCAACAGGAGAAAAACAAAAGTTCCGCCCCCCACTTTCAAAGGGAAAAAAACTACTGGAAGCTAATTCGCCAATTAATCCAGATAAAATTCAAAATAAATGTGGTCACCCTATTGTAGGTGCGCCACATGTATATCCAGTTCAACTTTTATTTAAGTTTTGATCCCATACCAATGGGTTGACATTGGATTTCCCCCTAAGGCCAGACTGTAATACCAAGAAATGGCACGTCAAGTTCCTGACTCCCACTTTCCTCCTTGCCACCGGACCCTCATACCAGCTAACTTTGACTTTCATCCCTGCAGGTGAGGCATACACCATCTTTCATTTATTTTATTTCAGAGCACCAGGAGCAAAAGTTCGACAATGCTATATGGTTTCCCATCTATCAGCGTCTTTATATAAAAATGACCCTGAGGACACTTTGGCAGGGGAGACCCTACCATAGGCAAAAGCCCCTAATTTTTATTTTGGTTATATCTAACAAGCCAAGATTTCCCCTATGCACACTCACAACTTCACTACAAACACAGGCTTGTTATATAGACTTACTAAGGAAAGCGCTTTGACTCCCATTCATTTTCCGCTCTTTCCACAGCTTGAACATGACCCTATCTTAAACCTAATTAATACCTTACTTATCCTGGCCCAAATAGTAAGGATATGTAATCACTCTGTGAGGATAAGTTAACACAAGATTGCAAATAAATCAATACAAATAAATCCCGTGTCTGTGTCTTTTTCCAATATTCTGGTTATTGCATTGACTTGTGCAAACATTAAGTTTCTAAAATTGAATATAACCATAGTCGAGAATAAGCACAGCAGTGACCATTGAAAAAATATGCAATTCAAAGCATATTTTATCCAGACTAAAGTCAGAGATAGCAAGATGCCATACTGCATGGCCCTTTAGTACTCAGTAGGTTTTTAGTGCTGTTCGTTTATATAAAGGGTTTGTCAATTGCCTCACCTGATTGTTATTAAACATGATTCCCAGAGTCAAAATTGTTCCAGCAGTCTTCAGTGAGCCAAGATAATATTTGATATTTAATTACCCAGAGCACAGCTTTTGTACACAGATGCCTGCAGTTTGTGGAACAAAGTCCAGCATGTAGATTAAAGGTTAAGTAACAAGAGTTAATATCACGTGTTTGGGTTCATAACTCATGTGAACATAATGCTGCAATTAATCTAGGCACTAATTTGGCCTTAAGTTAATAAGACTTAACATTTATTTGATCACTGTAAATGTATTTTTAAGTGAATAGTCACTCTTTTGATAAACCATTACAACATGTTAATTGCTTCTCCTTCTGTTTATCAGAAGGATGAGGAAATAATATCCATTAAGCATTGATATCCTTACTCTGACACTTAATTATTGCATTTCATCAACAATTACATCATCATCAATTAAGCACCAGAAGTAAGGATGTCAAGTCTTGCTCAATTTCAATTCTGTTGTAACAATTGGTAGTGTATTAATTTCCCTTAAAACCATGGCATATGTATCGACTGCATCTTCCACCAGTGTTGATGGAAAAAGTTTCCACTAATCAGTGTCATTCTTCATCAATCCAAGGAAAAGAAATGGCACTATGACCGCATCTTTTTGCTGTTACGTACAGGTAAAATACATTATGTAAAGTAAAACCGGACAGGGCTATGGATCATTTTGGGTTTCCTTGTATAAAAAAAAAACCAAACAAAAAAAAAATACATTTTTTTTAGGTTAAGGTTTAGGACACAAGACTTTATTCATCTATATATGAAATATTTCTATATATGTCTATGCTTCTTTAGTTTAGGGTATTTGCTTTTGTTAAAAAGGTCTAAATAACTGTTCAGCCATAACAGGGGGGGGGGGGGATTTCCCACAATATAATAATGTTTATAATTTATTCAAAGTTTGAACATCCAGATATGATAAACACATGAAGAAAGAAAATACATTTTCTTGTTTTTCAGGAATAGTTTTGTACCGTTGCAAGAGCAATTCTGTTTTCAAAAGTCAAAATGTAAACAAAAAACATTTTTATGCAGCTTACAAATTGATTAAGACTGCAGTGGTCGCAACACAACATTGTTTATGAGGAAAAAGGTAGTAGTTTGCACTTCTTTATTTTTTGTTCATATACAGGCCTCTTTGTGGAAAAATGAAAAGTAATGGATGCAGGTTAATGAACTGGTTTCATTTTTTTTTTTTTTTTTTTACTGGACCCCCCAAACACCAAATGACGTCAAAATTAATGTACAATGAGCAGAATCAGTGGATGGTACAGGTATATATTTCTGTACAAATGATCCATGTGGGTAAGTAACTTAATTTTCCTTTTCTATACATTGTTGGCAAAAATATATTTTTTAATTGAGCTTTTTTTGTTTGTTTCCAAAAGTGGGACTTCATTACATGTTAATTTTTATTTAAGAGTTTTATTATTTTAAGACAAGTGTATAAGGCATAATAGTTGGGATGCACTTTAAAAAAATGGTAGAGTAAATACCTATATTCCAGTTTTAAAGTTATTAGAGTTGTTATTTTGGTGAATTACTCTGCTTTTATTTTCTTGTTGGATTTCCTGCAGCAGAGAAACCTGCAGACAAAGACTGAACCCATGATGAAGGTTCCAGTTATGGCTAAAAGAAAGGCTGCAACATCCAAACAAAAGTAGGAATACCAAGGCAGATTAAAACCTGCTGACTTCAGGTGAGCAGCTCCTTTGTTCCTGATGACATACTCTATCCAGAAGATGGCAGTGTC